AACATCAATGGATTTCAATTCAAGCCCCATCATTTTTTTAGTTTTCTCAATATTTCTCAATATTTTCCCAAAATTAATATTTAAATCTCACTAGATCAGAGGAACCTTTACTACAGTGTAATTTACTGAATTACACTGATATATGATTTTTCTCACACTGGTGTATTGACAAGTGTTGGCAATAGTCCCCTTAAATAAGAATGAGCTATACTTCTATTTTGAATGAAGATTAAATCTGCTGATTTCAGATGCACACACACCGCAATTGTCAACCATTTTTTCATGCTGCTATGTAAAGGGGCATCCAGACAGAGGGAGTGTCACCAGTGTTAAACTGTCAGGTGCAATGAGCAATTGAAACTGCTACTTTTTATATGTGTGCAATGCATGTGATGCATATTAAAATGGGACAGAGTTTTGATCACCCAGTCATGCCCACCATTTTGTATGCTGTTGTACCCCCTTGCAGATGCTTTTGACTGTGTGGTCCTCCATTTGTCCTCACCTTCCCCACCTGGAATAGCAAGTACTCTCTCTAGTTGTCCAGAGAAGAGGCATTGAAAACATCAGCTAGCTGGTGGTTCACCCCATCCTTGTTCTTACCTGGCCATATTTGCTTTTTGTGGTCATGATGATGATGATGATGATTAGCCAATGTGTGGGAGCACAGCAAAGCTGCCCTTCATAACAGCAAACAAACAAGTGGGAAAATTAGTGCCAAGCTGTTTTCATGTCTTTGTTGCAGGAGGGCAGGGGAAGCCCTCGGAGCCAACAGAAGGGACAAGGTAGAGATTCCCATCAATGGAGAGTGTGTCTTTGCTGTGCTTCTCTTGAACAGCAGCTGAGGAGCTAAAAGCCTGCAAAGTCATGGTCACATGCCATGGTGGTGCCAGTACTGATTAGCACAGCCATTGTGTATCAAAAGGCCTGTAATTTACTTGGCACTTTCTGCTTTTGAGCCTAGATAGCAATCTCTGTCTCAGGACTGATTTTTGTAAAAAAACAAACACTTGGGTAGGTTCAACTTAGAAGAGAGAAGCAATGCAGGGGAGATTGCTACCTGCAGATAAGGTAAGGCTGCAGAACATGTAACTCTTCAGATATTCCTGAACAACTACTCTCAATAACCTTTACTGTTGGCCAGGCTGCTGGAAACTGTAGTTCACCAATACTTGGAGAATCACACAGGGTTAATAAAGCGTTTTATCTCCCTTTATTCATTTTGGTACAGACTATGGAATAGTCCAGAGTTAATAGTTATAGTTAACTATTAAATATAGTTAATATATATTTCTCATTTGTTTTAGTTGTGCTCTGAGTGTCTCACAAAAGTGCCTAGGTAGATTTAGGCTTATTTCAGATCTATGGTTATACAGACTTTTCCTAAACAATTCATTTTGATCAAGGAATTTAGAGCACAGAAGTTTCAGCTTCTTGCCACATACTCCAAAAGTAAAAGGGATTTCATTTTTATGTTCCTGAAATCCCATCATCAAAATAAATTAAGGAAAACTATGTAAGATAAATATAATTGCACATCTGAAAGGGGATTAAAGGCCAGGCACTTTAAGCTTCACTAGCATCTCACAAAGTATGGGTGTTTCACACACCATCCTCTGCCCCTCCAGTCCTGAGAAAAGAACATAATGAGAATTAAAATCTCTCTAGCCTCATAACCTGCTTGTTGTTTAATTATTTACAGGACAATGTCTGTATGCACCTGACTAATTATTCAATTAACAAGCACAGCGTTAATTTTGTACGAGATGAAGACTCTGGTAGTAAGAGGTACAGAACGTTTTCTAAAATAATCATTGCTGGGGGGATGCTGGGGGGGGGTCGCTCTCATGAATCTTTACAGCCATTTCAGACTTGTTTAGGAAACAGTTCTCCAAATTCAGCTGGCACGCGGCTCATTTTCTGTCATTAGGTGATGTAAATCATTTAAAAAGCTCAGATGAATAACAGTGGGAGTCTGGAGGAGGCGAGAGGAGCATGGATTTATCTCCCCTGAAGGAAGTACAAATGAATTTGTTGAAATGGAATTGCTGGGTTGCTGCCCCCTGTTTTATTATTTTTCCCTCTAAATCTTACACAGAACAGGTCAGTCTGATCTCATTATTGCCACCTCCATTTTTTTCTCCCCTTCTCCCATTGCTCCCAGGGTGGTTCTTGGATTTTCAGTTGATCACTAGCAACATTTTAGTCTGCTGGCTCCTATTCTTCTGTAGTGTTCTACCCACTGCGGCAAAAACGTGGCTTGCTTTGCATAGTTTTCCATAGTATCCTCATGATTTTCCAGTAATCGGGTCAAATACCAGCAGTGCAGTGCTGACTTCTGCAGTGCAGTGCTGCTGTCCAAAACTAGGATCTGCAGTGTGTCAGATCAGTAAACAAGAAGAGCAGATGTTCCTGTAACTCTAAGGCCAAGAAATCATTTCTAACTCCATATCCAAGAAGTTATTTGATTCTCAGTCAGATTAACAACCAGGCCAGAGAGTAGAAGAAGTTCCTGGCTTAGGAAAAAGGGAATGTTAAATTTGAACTATCAAACTTTTAGATCAGATATATGCAATGTATTTTTAAGGTAATGCCTGTTGGATTGGCATTCATCATCCAAAAGTGGAGGAAGGAATTAGGGGATCATCTATGCTGGACCTAATACTTATTAACAGGAAAAAATGGGTGAGGCAGTGGCAATTGGAGGAATTGCGACAGAGAGTGACCATGTAATCCTAGAATTTACCACATTGTTCTGCATTTCAAGAGTGCTGACTTCAATAAGCTAAGGAAAAAATTAGGAAAGATTCCATGGATGAAAATCCTAAAAGGAAAAACAGGAAGCTTGGGAAATTCTGAAAAATTAGATAACTAAGGCCAAAACAAATAATACCAAAGAGAAGGAAAAATGGGAAATGAAACCAGTGTGGTTGTATAAAAAACTTTCTGATAAAATGAGGAGAAAAAAAGGACATATTTTAAAAATGGAAAGAGGGGCATATAACAAAAGCAAAATATTAGGAAATACTACAAATCTGTAAGGGTGGAATGAGGAAGGCCAAGGCTCAGAATGAGCTGAGGCTTGCAGCGAATGCCAGAAATAACAAAAAAGGATTCTTTAGGTATATGAAGAACAGAAGCAAAGTCCAATAAATGTTTGGTCTAGTGGTGAAGGCCCCAGGCTAGAAAGCAGAAGACTATGAGTTCTAGTCCTGCCTTAGGCATGGAAGCTGTTTGGGTGACTTTCAGCCAGTCTCTCTCTCAGCCCAACTCACCTCACCGGGTGGTTGTTGTGGGGAAAAGAGGAGGAGGAAGGAGTATTAGGCATGTTTGCAGCCTTCAGTTATTTATAAAAATAATGAAGGCAAAATCAAGGCAGGCAGGCAGGCAAGCGGGCCCAGTGGTTGGAGAAGACAGCAAAATGGTGATAGACAACAGGGAGAAGGAAGAACTAATTAATTCCTATTTTGCATCTGTCTTTTCACAAAACGAAAAAGCCAAACCTGTCAAAAGCTACACCCTGGGTGGCAAAAGAGAAATGCAGGTAAAAATAGGCAAGGAAGTGGTGAGAGAACACCTAGCTGATTTGAATGAATTCAGATTGCCAGAGCCAGGTGGATTACATCGCAGGGTGCTAAAGAAACTGACAGATGTGATCTCAGAACCACTCATTATAATCTTTAAGAATTTCTGGAGTGCAGGGGAAATGTCAGAAGTTTGGAGAAGAGCTAACGTTCCAATATTTAAAAAAGGAAAAAAGTGGACCCAGGTAACTATAGACCAATCAACTTCATATCAATACCTGGGAAAATCCTAGGAAAGATAATCAAACAATGGGTTTGCAAGCACTTAGAAAGGAAAAAGGTGATTACTAGAAGCCAGCATGGATGTGTTAAAAATAGGTTGTGCCAGAAATCTTACTGCTTTTTTTTTTTTTTTTTAAGCAAAGAGACTAGATTAATAGACTGCTGTGGGAGCGCTGTGGATGTAATGTATCTAGGCTTCAGAACTGCAGAATAGCGGAGATGGCGAAATTGACTACCTTGATTAAAGAAAAGACACTGATTGGCTTTGTTTCTGTTTGGAAACCACTTTTGGACTTTTTGCTTGAAACGGAAAGAAATGAAACTTTAATTTTGGGGTTTGATGACTGATACATTTTATAATTATAGAAATACTTTATTTTAGTTTTTTATAGCTTTTATTGATATAGATTTATTTTGTATCATTTTAAACATTAGAGCAAGAGGTGAATGTATTATACGTCTATGCCTGTACCAAACAAAGTTGGAAGTTATCTCTTTTTTTTCTCTTTCTACTTTTTCTTTTCTTGTATCTCTTTTCTGATCTCTTTTTCTGTTCTTTTCATTCTCTTAATTTTCTTATATTTTATTCTCTATTGAAATTTAATAAAGTTTATTTAAAAAAAGAATGGCATTTGATAAAGTTGACCATAGCCGCCTCCTTGATAAAATTGAATGATGTAGGGTGGATAATCCTATTGCTATATGGATTTGCTATTGGTTGAACAACCATACTCAACATGTGGTCCTTAATGGATCTATTTGATAGACTTGAACACTGGGCCTTTTCCAACAAAATGCAGTTTAGTGGCAAGAAATGTACCATTCTGCACTTAGATAGGAAAAATCAGATGTACAGGTACAAAATAGATGATACCTGGCTCAGCAATGGTATTTAAGAGAAGGATCTGGATGTCCTGGTAGACCATAGGCTAAGCATGAGCTAGCAGTGTGTTGTAGCTGCCAAAAGAGCTAATGTAATATTGGAGTGCATCAACCGAAGTATAATACAGAAGTCATGGGAATGTTAGTTCCTCTCTACAATGCACTGGTCAGACTGCACCAAGAATACTGTGCCCAGTTTTGGCTGCCGCAATACAAGAAGGATGCTGAGCAACTAGAAAGAATACAGAGATGAGCAATAAAGATGGTGAGAGGCTTGGAGACTAAATCCTGTGAAGAATGATTGAAAGAGCTGAGTATGGTGAGCCTAAAGAAGAGCAGACTATGGGGAGACATGATAGCAGGGCTGTCACAGGGAAAAGGGTCTGGATTTATTCTCTATAGTGCTTGAGGGTTGGGCAAGAACTACTGGGCAGAAGCTTTACAGAGAGAAATCCAAACTCAAAATAAAGAGAAATGGAGCATCCTGCCTCATGGAGTCAGGGGTGCTCCATCACTATAAGTTAAAATCACCAGAAGAAGAAAATCAAAGATTTTACAGATATTTGTCTGGGATAGTCTGAGAATTCCTTCTCTGAGCAGGGGATTGGATTAGAAGACCTCCAAGATCCCTTCTAACCCTATGATTCTAGGCTCTATCTCATCCATCTAATTTGTAATTTCAGCTGTGGGGTTGGTTTATATGCCAGACTACTCCTGAGGTTATGCTTAGCACTAAGCCATAATGTGGCTTGCTTGGTTTTAGTGTATAATCTGAATTCAGCCAAGTTATTCAGGAAACCATGGGTCATACAATATGTGAATCAGGTCATTTCTAAGTGTTAATTTGTATTTGTTTTATGTGAAATAAAAGAGTTTGCATGTGGTTTAGCAGATGGAGTTAATATGTGGCTGATTAAAAAGTGCAAGAGAGAAGTAAATCTCTCAAATACATTGTCTCGCTTGTGTTCCCATTCCACCCCTCTCCCCTTTTTTTAAGGAAGCTGTCCACCTTTAATAAGTACATGGAGCAAAATGGTTATGATACAGGACAGATATGGAAGGATATTGAAGATGTTGTTATTAAAACACTGATATCAGCCCATCCTATCATCAAGCATAATTATCTCACTTGCTTTCCCAACCACACCATGTGGAGTGCTTGTTTTGAGATCCTGGGATTTGATATCTTGCTAGATCGAAAACTCAAACCATGGTTGCTTGAGGTACGTTTCTTCCTTCAAAACAAATAGGTCTATCTTTGGCTGCTTCCCCAGAAAGCTTTTATTAAACAATTGCCCTGCCTTATTCATGGGATTTATGAAAATATTTGCAACTCTCTATTTTTTCCACCACTTCTGCTTAATTTTTCTTACAGTATTGTGAACTCTGCCTGTGCTTTCTCATTGGTAACTCCAAGAACTGTCCACTGGAAGGACTCTTGGATTCAGAATCTCTACCCCTCTTTCTCTCCTTTGGAGTTAAGACAACTGCTTTCTCCCATGCCTTTCTCAAGCTGTATTCTAACACCTTCTCTTAGCTTCAACAATGGGTGCCTTGTGGCAATACTTCCAATCACATGGATTACCAGCAGAGGGCATTAGACAACCGAGAATGTTGCTTTAAAATTAAATAACACTCTTGCATTTGGGAATCACCAGTTGGGAAGACTCAATTGGTTGCACAAGAAATCTACTAGAAGAATTAGGGTTATAGCAATAGTTTAGCTAACTATCTTTTTTTTTATCTTCTCATAGTGTAACCCGTCATATTCTACTGAGAGTTTCATATGCCAGTCTTGGTGGTGATAGCTAACAATTACTTTTAATGCTCAGTACTTGGTAATCTGGGGGAAAAAACCTGCTTCTTGAAATATAAATTATACTATTAGTTGTTTGGATCTGCCTAAATGTCCTGTGGTGGGATTTTCACAGACTGGTTACACTTTGTGCACTGAAGTATTTCACTTTATTTTAAACCTGTTGCTTATCAAGTGTAGTAATATAATATATATTTCTTGTGTTTTATATATTTAACTTTCTAACCTGTCAGTAGGAACTGGAGTGATGTCAATATTAAAAACTAATAAAACAAAGACAAGAAAATAATACTATGTATTACGCATACAAATACTATACAATTAAGTAACACTGTGCCAAGTAAGCAACATTAAGTAACACTATGCCAAAACTGAGAGCAATACCAAACATTTTACATCATGAATTCAAATATAAAGGTAATTATGAAGGCATTATTATTATCTAATATCCCTTCCAAACATGTAAACATTTTATTTAGATCATGGCCCCAGACTTTTATATTAAAATTGTATTATCCTATACCTATTTAGAAATTTAATTACAAAAGGATATACTGGATATTCTTCACAAAAGTCCCAGCAAAGACGGTTACATTTCCAGTTCAGAATTCCTCAGTGTTGGCTTAATTTTACTCATAATGAGCAAAGGCCACAGAGAAAGATCCTGCAACCCTCCTTAGGCTCTTTGGAGGACAGAACATGTAGTAAGTGAACTCAGCACTTGGGAAAAAATATTTATTAATATTTGAATCTCTACATGCCCAGGTATGCAATATGATGATTATCATAGTTGATAATTGCAAACATCTAACTGGACTTGGAAGGTCATAGCAACTCAGTTCCTAGTCATCAACTCTAGAAGTTTTTCTTTTTCCTCTGTTCTCCCCAGAACGCTTGCTTTTTATTGCAAAACTGTAGCAACTACAAATACATTCAATTTCTGTGATTGTAGGTGAATCATTCTCCAAGCTTCAGTACCGATTCATGGTTGGACAAAGAAGTGAAAGACCAACTATTATATGACACTCTAATATTGATCAACTTGGGAGCATGTGATAAGCGCAAAATCTTGGAAGTAGAGAAACGGAGAGGGAAAGAAAGGCTTCTCAAGCAGTGCCGTAATCGCGAAGCCAGGTCTGAACTTTTTAATCCACTTTCTGGGACAGTGGCAATGAACATTTATAATCCACTTGCAAAGCATTTCTGAATACTAAAAATTTGCATCTCTCTGGCTTTCCGAATATGAAATTACGATATTTATATGCAATTTTCCATTTAAATGCTAGCTCTTGTTAAACAGATATCACAGATAAAAAAGTAGGTTTAAACTGTGGGCCAGAATTGGACACTGTGCTATATACATGTCTGTTGCCAATAAAGCAAGCTCCTCTACCCACCTCTGTATTGTCTGATACAGCTTAGATATATTTTGTGACAACACATTATGCGTTTCTTCACTAAGCTCAGCATTGCTGGCTGGGTTTTTTCTTTTCTTTTTTTTTTTTTTGGCTTCAGCTGCAAATATATATAATCTGGTGAGCATGAATTAGCAAGATAGAGGAAAGGGTAGGAGACTGAAAGCAAGTTACAGTAGTTTTGTTTTTTTTAAAGGAAGAATATAAGAAGAAATTCATTCATATATGTTTTGGGGAGAGTATGTCAGTCACACCCTTAACAGCACAGCCAGGCAAGAATTGTTGTTGTGCTTCAATTTTAGATGAGGTTATAAAATATACAGGTGTGATTAAAAACAACTACACATTGCAACTGAAGATGTTAGTATTTAACTATCAAGCAACAACCCAGCCTTTTGTACTGTACTGCCATATGAATAGGCAGGCAGTGATGTCTCCTTTGTTAGCCATTCAGATATAATTTGTGCAAGTACATTCCCCTTTCTGTGCCTATCCTAGTTTTCTGTGGAATCCAAGAGAGCTTTGCAGTACCCATAAAGGTAGAAAGGTAGTCCCTACAGCTGCAGCTTCAGTGTAAAACATGCCATCTAACTGTAGCTTTCAATGTGGCAGAAGAACATGATTAAGTACATGGAAAATAATAATGTTAATTGTACTGAATCAAATTAGAATTAAATCATACTGTATTTAGTTTTGTTCTGGCCCCACCTCTCTCTAGGCATACTTCCCCTCAGTATGCTACTCAATGCTCAAGTGCGGCCTTTGGCCTGAGCAAGACTGGAGGAAACTCGCTTTTTCTGTAAGGTCTGCAACATGAGTTCAGAATAGACCAGAATCAATTTGTACAGAACTGTGCACACTACAGCTCCTTTTATTTATATATTGCTTTAATATATGAAAAAAGAAAGGAGGAAAGAGGGAAAAAAGCAGATAAAAAAGAACACAACAAAAATATTTTATGTATAGGAAATCATTCAACATAATTTTTAAATACATTCAAACTTGATCAACCAAAATAATATTAGTCTTTTCATTGTATCAATAGAGAGGCAGTTCATAAACAGAAAGCAAATGCATACTGGTGATCCAAATCTGTAAATCTGCAGTCTCATTGTCTTTCCAGCATTGAAAAGTAATATTTTTTGCTACCTCTATGCTCAAACACACACACCACAATTCTTCATATAATCATAAATTCCAAGTTTTTGGACCTAATTCAGAAGTGCATTTACACAGTTAAACTCTTGATCACTGCAATAACATATTAGCAAAGCTACAAGTATAAAATAAAAACAGCAATAGTGTAACAAGCTTGTATCATAAAAGTAAGTGTCTCTCATTCATTTTACACTTCTAAAATAATAGCCAATCCTATATGTCCATTAATTCAGTAAATATGGGGGGGGGGAAATCTTTTATTGAATTAATCTCATTTTAAGATTTTAATAAATATATTTACCATACATTAATATTTTAGCCATTGATTTCTTAATATGGGATATTGAATTATTTCTTTCAAAGTCCTTGCAGGTAATAATATTAATGTTAGTTCCTTAATTGTTTATTTTAACTGTACACTTACAACCATCCAAAGCACATTCTGAAATTACTATCAAGTTTGGAATTTTAAAAATTAAATAACATATTTTAGATGCTATCAATGCACCTGGGCCAAATTATGAAATCAGTAAAAGTGTTAAAAGGAATCAAACTCAAGATAAATGCTCACTGATAAAGCTAAAAGTCAAGGAAGTCACACACAACCCCACCATTATATGACAGCCATAATTCAGATAAAGAACATCTAGGCAATTGTCCTTTCCATTAATTCTTAATACCTTACCTTCTCATCAAAAATACTGTATTCAAATTTTGAGCATAATCAAATATACATTTGCATTCATCTTTTTTTTTTTTAGCAATCTGGACTGTGTAAAAATGACATGCTTATAAATTTGTGTGGCATGTACATAAAATGTACTTGGGGTTTCTGCTTACTAAAAAATAAAAGATAAAAAATACTTTATTTGTGCTAAGGTCTCCCTTAGGGCTTAGAAAGAACAAACAACAAACAATGGTGTAAATTTCTGCCACAGACCAGCAGCATTCAGTTTTCCTTTTATCCATCCTACCTTTTACTGTGGAAGAAATAAGGGACAAACAGATTAAATTCCCGTCTTGTGGAGGGACTTGCTAAGTTAGGCCTTTCCTACCTCCTGGCCTTGTTTTCCCCTGGAAGGAGAAAGGTAGAGAGGGTGAGGCTAACTATCTATCTCTGTGACTCTGAAATCTCTGTCTAGTAAACAAGACCAAAAAGATCAGAGCAGGATATTTTACATGATATTTACATGCTTAAAAGCTAAGTGAAAACATTTTATTCCAGCACACATAGAGCTAATTTGATATGATTTGGGCAGCAGAAAATCAAAATGAAAAAATTCCCACACTGAAGTTTAACTGTTTTATTTGGGTGGTTTTTTCAGAGCCGAGGAATTCAAGAATTGTCAGGCTGTGTGGCTCCAAGAAGCAGAGATATATGAAGAAGAAAATACGGGAGGCTATCGCCGAATATATCCCCGTTCTGATTCTGTCAGATATGATAAGTTTTTCCAACACAATAATTCGCTTTTCCAGGAAACAGCAGCTTCCAGAGCTCGTGAAGAGTATGCAAGGTAAGAAAAAGCATTTCTTGATCTATTTTGTCTTAAATAAAATTACAGAGCCTTGTTTTTAAAGGGAAAAAAATGTTATTAAGTTTAATGCTTCATTTTGTGTTTTAACAATGTTAAGTCAACTGGCAAGAGTCCTGTGGCAGGTATAAGCAAGTAGGTATGAGAGAGAAAATGAACATTTTTTTCCTTTTCTTAAAATGATCTTTTACTTTTCTTCAGAGATTCGAGTGCTGAACTGTACTTTGTAGCAATATATTATTTATTTTTTTTTAACAATCCAGTCCTGTCCTTCTAATGCGTTTAGGCCACACAGGGAAATTCACAGCAATGAAAAACAATACTAAATCGAAATCAGTAAAAGGAAAGAAGGAACTAGACAGGAAAAAAAATCAAATAAAAGCTGGCAAGTACAGCGGATAATGTATTCAGGTAACATCTGCACTGCCTTGGGAACGTCTTTCTAAACAGGAAAATCTTAACCGGTCAGCAAAAGACTATGGAAGTCAACTTGGAGCCCTGAGGCAGGGAGTGCCATAGTTTAGGAACAGCCCTTGAGAAGGTCCTTATTATTTAATCAACATTATCTTTGCTTGCGCCCGTGTGTCATCACTCTGCCCAAGCTGCATTGGTTGCCAATTGGCTTCCAGGTGCAATTCAAGGTGCTGGTTGTCACCTATAAAGCCCTTTATGGCATGAGGCCAGGTTATTTGAAGGACCACCTCTTTCTGGTGGTTTCTCTCCATCTAGTAAGATCTGGGTCCTGTCAGTTAAACAATGCTATCTACTGGGACCACAGAAACGCACTTTGTCTGTCGTGGTGCCCGCTGTCTGGAACAGCATCCCCCTAGAGATACGCACAGCTCTCACCCTATAAGTTCTCCATAAGTCTTTGAAAATGTGGCTTGCCTCCCAGGCCTTGGATTAGGTTGTCTTTTGAGGTCCTGGTGGGTTGGGATTGGGGATTGTTTTGGTACTGTAAGATACGTTTTTGTCCTGGTCCACAAGTTCTTTTCCTTTAAAATTGTTTTTCTTTTGCTTTAATTATGTAAGGCTCCCTGAGTCATTCGGAAGTAATGACTAAATCTACATAAATAAGTAAATAAAATGTTTTATCTGCCTCAGATGCAGAGTATAGTTCTGAAAAAAATTACACCCATACGTACAATTATTTTGAGATAGGAGAAGAAGGGAAGGGGAAGAATGGAGGAAAGTTTGCTGAGAAACTAAATGATTAGTATTCATTTATCAAGTAGGCTTGACACTTTTACATTAAATAGCTGGTCTCTGTTTAATCTGCAAGAAATTCTTTAAATCTTCTGATGAATAAGCAACTACCATATTCAGAGACACTTCACACCAGCATTGCTTTTAGCTGATCATGTTACAGTTGATTGCCCTTTATTCAATTCTTCACTATCCCTTTAAACATTAATTAAAATTATTTGTATCCTGCCTTTCAGGATAACAGTCCTCCAAAAGTGGCTTACAACCAATTTAAACAAATGTAAATAAAAATGCCATAACAAGTACTGGAAAAATGATAGGACTGTTGGTGGCCATGGACCAGGTAGGAGGGAGGGGAGCACATTCACCACTACACCAAACTTGCTCTCTTAGTACCTATAGTACAAAGATCACAAATGCAAACTGATTCTGTTTCAGTTGCCTTCCAGTTTTTACCTTTGTTTCTTCCAGTCCAAGGAAGGCCAGGAACGTATAGTTACTGCTCTGCAAGGGTTTTCTCTTGCTGCATAAAGCCTGATCATGAAAGGCAGTATATTCTATATATGCGTTTTTTATTCACTAAATACTGATATGTTAAAAACCAAACAAACATAGTGGGCCTGAGGGGCTGCTTCAAGCTCAGCTCAGAGATCCATTTGCCATCTTTCTAACTGCTGGAATTGCTAACTTGGCCTGCTTATTTGATCAAACCGTTTACTCCAACATTGCCTGATTTTTCCTGCAAAGTTGAAACAGGTGCCGAGTGTTGCATTAAAAAAGGAAATCTGCTATCTCTGATAATAGATTTGGTGTAGGGGCAAGATCTGTCCTTTCTTATCCCGACTCTGAGCACCATGGCCTGTTTTGGATGTTTGAGAAGCCATCGGCAGAAAATTTAATTATCATAAATTGACAGTCAACGATGTTTGGTATTCAGCCTTCCTTCCTAGTGCAATCGTTATAATCTTTTTTGTGAATTGATATCAACAGGCATCAACTGCAGGAGCTGCGTCTCAAGCAAGAACAAAAAATGGTTACATTGAAAGAAAAGAAGGCTGAGTTCCCCGGAGAGTCCAGTGGAGAAAAAATAAAAATTCCTAGGCCAAAGATGCTGAATAGATCAACTATACTACCAGTCTCTGTCCAGGTATGAATAATAGAGAAACATTTTAGCTGCTAAATTCTTTTTCTGCACAGGAACTTCTGGTAAATGAGAAAACAAATGGGGGAAAAAGGCTTTAACTCTGTGATTTAGTTTTTAATAAATCAGTTGCAATGAACAAAATGCAAAATAAAAAGAGATGTTATTCTCACATTAAGTGACATCTTATAGCCAATGAAATTTGCTGGCAATCCTGAATGAATTCAGTGAGGCTTGATCAGTGCTTGTTTTCATAAAACAGTGACGATGAAAGCCAGCTTGCCCATTATTTAGTGCAGTAGGTGGTCCCTCCACTTTCCAGTAGTGGTAGGAATCATTCTCCCCACTTTACATGCTGCTAAAATCCTCATCAGTTGTTTAGCATGTTGCTTATTTAGCATTTAATAAGTGTTCTTCCCTCAGGGAGCTCAAGATAACATAGATGAAGTGCCTGCAGGCTTCATCATTAGTTTCTTAATTCAGTGTATAAATATTTGTTTTGTACTTCACAAGCTCAGCTGCTGTTGGCCGCCTATAGAATAAGATTAGAATACTATATACAAAATGCATATAATGGCATGTATAGGAGTTTTCTGTTTTGTGCAAACTTCTTCTACAAAGTCCCATATCTAATAAATAGCATATAGGACCTGAAAAACTTTCTGTTTGAATCTTGGGAGAGAGTCACTGAGATTAATACCAACATTAATTGGTCAGCACCTGATTTGACATAAGGCAACTTCCTATATTCATAGCTTTACATTGGCTTAAAACAGGTTATATCCTAAACTGCTGATGCTAAAGGAGTCTGTTTGGTCTGCATTTTTAAATGAACTTGTTCAGTTTGCACTTCCTGGGCTAAACGCAGTTATTCCACCAAATTTTGTGAAATGGTTCTCAGTTAAAAGCGTATTCTTCATATTTACATATCCATCACATTATTCCCTTTTGGGATAAACAGTATTATACAAAGTTCAGAAAAGAAGTAAGAAATAGTAATTAAAAGAAATTGAGGAGAGAAGAGGACGTAAATCTAGTTTATACCGTTACCATTCACTGTATTTCTCCATATTTTTCTATGCTTGCAGCAGTTCTTGCTTCCACTGTATCTGTACACTGATTTATATACCACCCTGTAAATATTTCACCTCTCCGTTTTTCAGGATCTCATTAACATCATCTGACCACAATTTTCCTGGTATTCCCCTTCCTCTTGACCCATTCACTCTTTCTTCATATATTTGTTTTATGATTTAGTCCTTATTTGGTCTATTTAACCAAACTACCTCAATGTATTACCTTTCTATCAACATTTGCTCATCTTAAAAACTCTCCCTCTGTTTGTCCATCTTTGCCAAACATTCTACCAAGATATACAGATTTATCTACATGCTCTAATTTTTCAGCATTTATTTATTATTTGCAGTCATTCACTTTATTTTCTTTGTGAAACACAACAGGTAGTCCTTGGGTTAAGAATGTCCAGGTTACAGATGACCAATAGTTAAGAACAGAGCCTACTATAGCAAAATTCAAGTTAAATACACAATGGTTTGAGTTCATTATACAATACTACTTATATAGTATTATACAATAATACTCTTCTGGCTTACAAACAAATTCGACTTAAGGTCAGGCCTTAAGAACTCATTCTTAAACTGGGGACTACCTGTACCTTAGTGTTCATTGATAACAGTAATTTTCAGGTTCATACCTTCCATATCACTTCTCAGCCAACAATATGGTTTTGTCTGCATACAAAAAACACACATACTGTATATTCAGTCCCTGACCAACACACTTCTAACAAGTATTCTTTATACATATATCCATAAATACCTTAAGCAATCAAGAGGACATCACACATCTTTTGTCTTACTATCTGCCAGTATTGAACCATTTGCTAAGCATTTCATTCTCACATATGCTTTATTTCCATGCAGTCTATATATTCACTTTTGCTACACTTCCCTTTGAATAGGGCAGCAGTATCAGCATTCTTCCAGTTGTCATGTGGAGTCTTCATACATACATTGTCACACAGACACTCCCTAATGAACCACATTTCTATTTTAATAGTTTTCCAGTTACTTTATTTATTTATTTATTTATTTATTTATTTATTTATTATTGTTTATTTATTATTAGATTTATATGCTGCCCATCTCCCCCAGAGGGTGACATTAGCTACCGTCTCACAATTTTTCAAGATTATCACAGTATTTATTACTTCCTTTTCATCAATTATTTTCTTTGACACTAATGTTTATAGCTTTTATTTCAGTTCCACTGTTAGGCATATTGCTATCATTCCCATAATAATCTCTAAACTCTCCTTCCAGTATTCCTTTATTTTGATTTCCTTCAAATAATTTCATCACTGTTATTTTTAATTCCATTCTCTCTGCTAGGGGCTCTTAATTAGCCCCTTTCATCCTCTTTCAAAAGAAATTGCTATTTCCATCAAGATTATTTTGTATTTGCTCTGTTTCTTGGCTGTAATATTCTTTGCTCTTTTTGAAGATTCAAATAATACAATCTTTAATTGTAGATTAAAGATTCAAAGAAACTATCTTCTTCTCTCTATGCACATTATACAATATATTTTTCTCATCTTCCTTTTTTGCAGCAATCATTGTTATACAATATGTGTTTTTCCCCTCATCCAAAACCTCTTTCACCTCAGTGTCTTTTTTCATCCTTCCCATTAGCATTACTCCACATACCTTTGTAGCACTTCATAACATAATTGTTTTCAGGTGAATAAACTTATTTTTAAACTACATATTTGAACCATAAATTTTATATATTTTGGCAAGATAGATAGAGTCATATGGCACTCACATGCAGCATCTCTGGTAATGGTAAGCACATTTACCAGATATTTTTTGCACATTTTGACCAGTTTGCCACGTGTGTAACCAAAACTTTTTCTTATATTTTGTGGAAGCTAGGCTCTCCAAACCAGAGATTACCTGGTAAAACAACATAGTGTTGCCCCATCTCACCACCTAGAAGTTATGTAGCACATTGATAGATCCTCAGGATACAACATAAGATCTTTGCATTTTTAAATAAATCCTGAAGCTCATCATCAAAAGGATACAACAGCTACGCACACATCAAAGCTCAACAAAGCAGCCAAATCAGCTTTTGTACTTGTACTTTTTTCAGTTACATAACTCCAACAGCATTAGCAAAGGTGTAAAACACAATATTGCATTATATACACCTACCATTGTATTGCTTGCCTGCCTGCTTTCAAAACAAACAAAGCGAAGAGTCACTTTTTGACAAGATGGGCAGTGACAAATTTGATATATAAATAAACCCACCCATATAGCAAAGAATTTTTAAAAACAGCAGTATTTTACGAGGCAGGCAGACATGTTACAATCACAAGCCACAAAGTAGCCCAGTAGCAACTGTTGGAATGCAAATCATCACTGTTTTTGAAACAGCCAATTTCTGAGGCATACATATTTATTTCAAGCTTGGAACACTCAAAACAGCTGTTTTATGATAGAGCATCAAGGCATATGATTAGCAGTATCAGCCCTTCTTCCCCTTGGGAGATAAACCAATCTCACAGGAAATAAACAAAATTAATCTTGAACAGGTTTAACGATTAAGAAGTCAACAAGGAAATCAGAGCAAAGCTTTTTAAATTTACATATTAAAATGCAAGCAATCAATGCTGGAAAATATCGATTACAGATTGTTCCAATTTAGTTTTATCTTTTTATTCCCCAGAAAAGTAGCAGGGTGTGGGAACCTTATCTCTTTTACACACACTGAGGTTAGGGGAATGATGTCAGATGAGGTACCCCTTAGAAGATAAGTGGTATCAGTAAGAATACTAAGCTATACTCCTAGGGGCAAGAGATGAGGCCAGGGTATGAGGACCCAGGAAACTTCTGGGAGAGGAGTTTGAGAGTGCTATCTTTCTGCCCTATGGGCTCAGTTGTGCTGTTAGTTTCGTAACAACATAGATTTTGAGGAGGACTCTTGACCTTGAACTTAAATTGTACAATCTCTAATCAAGAATTATATGATCTTGATAGTTTTCACAGCCTCTTGCACTTTAGTTAGTGCCTTCTAGACATAAAATAATAATAGCATTAAAGTTAGGTATAGTAAAGGTTCAATCTGTAGTATGTCAGGGTTTGGGGAATGTTCATTCTATCTTAATCCATACTCGACCTTTTTCTTTTGAATGCAATCTAGTCAATTCATAATAGGACTGGAGTTTATTGTATGTCTGAAAGATTAAGATCATTGGAGAAATGGAGTGATTTTCTGACATATTTTTGTGAGAAGGGGAAGCTGTGTGTAGTATTCCAAAAGCTGCTTGGGAAGTAATTTGAGATCAGAGAAGAGATACAAGAGTGAGAGAGAGAAAGCAGATTGCAATTGAAGGCCGAGTGCATAAAGTCTTCCCTTCACAGCCAGTTAAATCTCATGAAGAGCTATTGCTTTTTTCCTGCAAAAATGAGCAAATGTGGCCATCCAGATGTTGCTGAGGTCCATCAAACTATACCATTGGTCAGGCTGGCTGGAGCTGAAGCATCTAAAGAGCTTCACCAAGTAAGATTAGGCTTTTCACTACTTTTGACCCTTATACTGACCTGCCTAGTGTACCTTCCTTGAACTTGGGATTCAGGATGGTGATTTTTGTTTTAAGCAATGAACAAAAATAAAGTTATGTGGCAAATTCTCATTCTTTTTTCCAAAGTATGCAAAACAAAAAGTGTTTTGTAGCCTCTATTTTTACATACTGTTTAAAAAAATAAGTTAGAAAGCTTCTTTGTTTTTTTATTGTTTGGGATAATCACCCTTTTCAAGTGGCTACGGTGATGAGAACAATATTCAAGCAATTGCATCTTTGTAATTTAGCAGCACTTGTAATATTTTTGAAAACATAACTTCATGCTTTTTCTGTTGTTTTAATGTATAAATTTCTGCATATTGTTGATGATATTGAGAACCCCAATGAAATTCAACCTAACCAAGCAGACATGACTCTCTCACATGCGTACGTGCACACTCATTGCCCTGAATTTATGGACCATTGATTGATATCATAACTTAATATTGTTTGGGGCTGCTTTTTCCTCTTTACACAGCCTCAGATCTGTTCAGAGTCTGGACCTGGGACTGCTCTCCTGCTTGAACATTTTTCAGATGATCAAGAGCCCAAGAAAGAAGTGATTTGTGAATCTTCAACTATTTCCCCACACAACAGCTTTGAAACAGACAGTCTAGAGAGGCCTATAAAGCAACCGGTGAGGCCTTACAGCTCTGTGCCTGATTTGACATGGCAGAATTCATCCAGCACTCCAGAGCAATCTAATTCCAGTCCAGAAATGAGGGATACCATTAATAGTCACCATTCTGCAACGAACGTGAACATTACAACAAAAGTAAGTAACAAAGCCCCAGGCTTTGCAGCATTATTGCTCATTGTTTCTCAGATCTCAGGGTCACACCAGGCAACAAACACAGAGCAAGTTTTTGAGCCATGAATTATTCAGGATCTTTGTCCTGTCTTGGCTTTATGTTGTGAAAGCAATAAAGTTGGAAAATACCCTCATCAAATATAAGAGGGCTATACACATTTCACTTTGGTTCTAGGCTGACCCTTTTTTGTTAACTGTCTGTGGTATGGATGAATACTAATATTTAGTAGAGTGGTAATAGCCACCTTGATTTAATCACTGAGATAAAGCTTAGTCTAGTTTCATTATACGTTTAAAGTAAACATGGGCAACTTATGGGCCATAGACAACCTTCAAAAAGGGTGGAGTACTGTTGTTGCATCTCTCTGTCCATGATTATACCACCAAAATTGATGGCCCCAGAGTTACAGATTTTTAAAAAAGAAATAATAAAATAATGTATCAAACCTTCAGTACATTTGACAGACTTATTTTACTTAAATCCTACATGCATCCCAAAAGTGGGGGGGGGAACAGTACCAAAAAATGTGGGCCTGATCCTGTGATGTTGTGTCTTTACTGGGCATTCCGAATCTCTTGGAGACTCCACTTCTCAAAAAGCGTGGCCCCAACTGAAAAGAAGTTGCCTATACTTATTCAAATTTACCACATTCTCTGGATCTCTAACAGCTGGGTTATCAATGAGGTTATGAAGCAAGTGTATCCCTGACCATCCTTCTCTTTCTTACCAGCATCAACCACCAAATGAGCTTGCAAAAGCATACAGTAAACAAAGCCCGTGTCCTCCTGACAAACATTTTCCAGCAATGACCAAACATCATGTGAGGAACAGAACTGCAAAAGACATGGGTGTCTGTGAAAGTCCAGCTATTCAAAATTTCCACCCATTTAGTGAAGTGTCTTTCCAGTTTCATGTTGGAGAAAAAGCAGTTTCATCACGCTCAGCTGGTCAGGCAACGAAAATGAAATTTCCTGAGAATGGAAAAGGAAGAGGAACTATCCTTGTCTCAGAATTTTTCAGCAAAATGAATTTTACAGCATCTGAGAAGCATTTCCAGCTTCTCTCCCAACAACAGCCTCAACACCTCACCAATCGAGCACGTGAGAGCCATTTTCTTGGCTATTCTATTAATTAATCAATTTTGGCATCTGTAAAAAAGTGGGGGGTTGATTACAGCATTTGTATATATTTTGATCCAGACATATAAGCTCTTTCTTGGGCTTTGAGAATGCCACTTCTGATTTAATACTTTCAGTCCATTATATTTAGATGTATTAAGTTCTTCAACAGTATTACCTGCTGTAGTCCGCAAGAAAGGATATGGCATAAAACAAATACAAATTGTGAATTTTTGTCTGCAGAAGTCTCCCAAGGGAACAGACTTTTACTTCCCCTGGTTTTAGGGTCCTAAGAATAGTCATCAATTGAGCAGCTGACTTTTGAGGACTATTATTAGGGCCATCAATTAATTATTTATTAGGGACTTCTCAGATAAAATGGAAAGCATATTGAGGTTTAGACTTGCAGGTTCCCACTCCTTCTCTGTCAGAAAAATAAGGAAATTACATTATTTTTAAAAACTAAGTAGCATTTCCAGTTTTTCTAATTGCTGGCACACTGTTCAGTGAATTGCCTAAATAAGCTAGGATCAAATAGATAGTTAAGATTTTATAAAGTTTAGACATCGTGGAGATACTTTTGATTTCTGATAGTCTGATATTATAGCACAGCTGCAGAAGGAGAAGATTGAGGGAGAATGTGTGAGCCAAGGTTTTTGCTTATAACATTAAAACATGGTTAATGTTCCATCTGAATTGCATGAGATTTTGGGCACACAAAAATCTTAAGAGATTTTAGGTGAGTATGCTAAATTCTTGCAAGATTTCAGGCAAAAATGACATTTGGTGAGATTTTGGACTGAGAAGGCTGAAATTATGCAAATTTTGGCAATGTTTTGAGATTTCAGCCATTTTTATTTTATTTTATGTTATTTTATTGATGGCTGCGTCATCACAGATGATGATGCTTGCCACCTGGAAAGGTTGTTGACAGCTGCTGTAAAATCAAGCTTGATTCTAAACCAGCCTTCCTCAATCAGGCAGTTCAGATTCCCATCACTCTTCAACTTTCGTGGCTCTGATGGTAGATAGATTATAGAAGCCATAGCATACACATCTGGAATGTACCAGGTTTGGGAAAATTGTACCAAATTTTTCTTATCACAGTGCTTTTTGCAAGGAGAAGGAGGAGCTTGGGACATAGGCTTGTATTTTTTAGTCTATTGTTTTCAGGGACATATATTCTCTCTTTTTCTTTGGAACAGTGCTGAGATTGAGGAGGCACACCAAATATCTTTTATCTGGTGCCAGTCTCACAGATTATTTTAGGGAGGAAAGGAAATGAGATAGGCTGGTAATAATGAAGTTAAATGCTGTATTGATTCTTGCCCTAGCATATGAATGATGAGGCATCCAGAACAGAGAGTTCACATGCTTCCACAGGCCTTGCAGCAGTAGCCCCTCTTACCTCCTTGCCAGTTCATTCTTCTTGACTCCTGCTGGAATCCAAGAAAAATGGGCTGGCATCCTGCTGAATGTGATCCATCACAACATATGCTTTTTTTCTTTTTCATTATATTACACAGAAAGTGCTTCCCTCCCAAGAGAAATCCTAGGGAGCAGAAGTGCTTCTTGCAGGAAGTCAGCAAAATACTATAATGTTCACCTCACCATGCAGAAGCCAATCAATCAGCAACACAGCTTGCAAGATTTGCTGGTGATCTCACAGATGAACAGCCAGACTAAAAGAGCCAATGACCCAAGAGTAAGAGGTAGTCCTGTGAGCAGGTAAAGAGGGTGGCTATCTGGTAATCTGTGGTGGAAATTCAACATTCTACATGCTGGGAGGGACTGGAGATTTAAGAAAAGAGGACCTCATTACATCAATCTTTAGGCTCTGTCTCTGTTGCATTATTTTAAAAACATATGCACCAGGGCAAGGAAGATTGGAGTTTACATTCCTTCACCTACTTAGCGATGTTTCTTTCTTTCTTCTTTCCACGGGGAAGAGGCAAGGGCCTTCCAGGTGTTATTAAACTACAACTTCCAGCATTTGATCATTCAGCCTGGCAGCAGTGAGTTCTAGTTCAGAAACATCTGGAGGGTCACAGGTCCCTACCCTAGACAATAAACATTCTGTTCAGCTCTGACTTCACCATCATTAATTTCAACAGCCTGTATCATATATTTCTACATTTTCAGGTACTAAAGAACTGAAACTTGTGATTTTCTGAATATCAAATTGAAATCATTCAGGTGATGCAGTATCTGTCCCCAGGGTTGTGCTTTGGAATAATTCCTTTATAATACTAGGAATGTAACTATTCTAAAGGTTTAACAAGTAGGGCAACTAGGCCTGAAATCAGATTGGATCTACATAATCAAATACAAGAGACCCTACAATTACTTGGTGACTGCACATAAGTACCAGTGCAAATGTCCAATAGCTACTACAGAGGTTAACCTTTGTTTTGTGGGTTTGCCAAACTGAAAAGCAGGGCATAAATGTAGTAAATAAGTAGGATATTTTAAAGTAGATAAATATATAATTTCCTTCTTTTTCTTTCAGGGTCTAAGTGAATCTTTCACAAGCACTGGATAATGCTGGAGCTCGGAAGGAGCTCCTTTCTATTAAAGAGCACCCTGAATTATTTGAACTATTCAGTTGTACGTTTTCCCAGCATACTCCCATGTAAAGGAATTTCCGTGTGGCTAATGAAATTTGACCTATAAAGCGATAGGGTCTTTTTAGAGTAAGTGGGTCTTGAGATAGTAGACGCTCCTGATTTTTCTGTTCCCTGAAGAAATATGCAGAAAGTCCTTTCCTATAAATTTCTAAGAAAATGAGTGCTGCATTAAGTGAGTGTCAGATATAGAGACGTGATCTTCTGTACTATTCCCAGTCATGTATTACTGTACATCTGCATGGAGTCTTTTACTGTGTGCTGCAGACTGAATCCTAAGGACTGAACTTGATCCGACATACAGTGGCATGTCTTTTTTTCCGGATTTTTTTTTTTTTTAATGAAAAACAGTCTTGGAGATTTTGGCGGGGAACTGAAGGGCTGCTTAACCCTTCCCCTCCAGTTACTTGTGCATTCAAACATTTTCCCATTCTATTATTTTATCTATGGTGGAAAACATACAGGACTCATATATTTATCCCCATGGTGAAAAATACAGCTTAAGAGGAAGAATTTTGAGCTACAGGTCAGCAGTAGCTCCTGTTCCACCTACCTTCTGTTTCCTATTGCAGCTCCCAAAGCTGCTTTTCATTTTTTTAAAAAAAATCAGGGGGAAGAGCTATGTGACAGTTCATGGATCTAAATAAAATTTTTAAAATGGCAAAGTTTCACGTGCAAAGGAATTTTGTGTTTCCCAGTGGAATAAAACTGAATCCCAGTGGAATAAATCCTGAATCTCTATATATGCAGTCACTTTAATTGTGCATCATTCACTATGGTCCTTATGCTTTTTCCACTGCATTTTTCATTTTGGTCATATATTTTTGCTGTCAGTATAATTTACCTTCTTTCTCATCTTTTGCTTTTTTTTCATTCTTCCTACTGTTTAGCAGGAGAAAGGGATAGTGGAATGGATATCAACTATCCATGGGCCCTGTGTCACTTATAAGCCATAAAAATGCTGTGATATTTTTAATATGAAATATGAAAGATTGGAACAAGCAGTGTTGCGACTATACAGTAGATATTTTGATATTATGAGTAAGGGATAATATTCAGTCAAAAAGAGTATGGTAATAAATCACTGTTTTTCCATGCAGTAACTAGAACCTTTTATCTTTTTATCTTGTAAATGCCACTGCAAATGTGTCAAAGTAAATATAACATTATCCTAACATATTATATAGCAATATGTGTAGTAAATTTCAAGCATGGAGGTCACATCATCTCTGTTAAATTAGGAATCTTTACTCAGGAAGATAGATCAGATCCACCTACAATATATTCTAATTTATAGGAGGCAGTAATACATAACTTCCTGTCTGATGTCTGAAATTTCCACAGTATTTGCTTTCTAATCAACTATGTATCTATTTCTATTTGTATCCTGTCTTTCAATTGCTCGTCATGCTAATAGTGATTAACAGACCTGTGTGAAAAAACTTTTATTTGTTTCAGCAAGGTGCTTTGTGCCAGAGAGCTCCTGTGAGTTGCCTCATCAAGGCAAAATAGTAATGTGCCTTGCCTTCATGCGGCACTTTGCATTTCTTTGAAATCTCTTCTTAGTCTCCTTTGGCATATACAAGTGTTGGAAGAGATTGCAGAGGAAAGCCGAGTTTCATTCATCTACAGTCTTAGAAGGGATCGCATTGCTTTTCAAAGTAGATTTGAGCGAATTTGCTTGAACTATTGAAGTAAAGCACTCCCTTGCCTCACAGGTCTGCACAGTGACAATTGGTTAAAATGCTTTTAAAATGTAAACCTTATAAAATTTAAAAAACAGATAAAACATTAGCTTAAATAATAATTAGTCCACCTATAATCACCAATCCATCTCATAAGGCTTAGCTGAAGAAAGTTTTTACTCCTTTCCCTAAAGTGGAAAGAGTGAGGACTAAACGTAAATCCTGATAGAATATGTTCTAAAGTTTGGGAACAATGCATATGAATATATGTCCCATTCTGTGTTCTATTTCGCCCTTCCCCCAGAGCAGTACTTGTTCAAACCAAAAACAATTCTGCCCCAGAACTGAGAAGAAAACAATTGTGAGTTTGGCTTGATGGATGATAATATAATCTGGTTGTAGAACTTGAAGTATCCAGATTACAGAAATTGCCTTCCACTCCTCAGCAGTCTATAATTATTGGCCAATATATTTTTCATTTCAATTGGAAGGATATGGTAGAATGTTCATATAGTTGTCAGTATTTCCAGAAAGATATTGGCAGATTAGAACAGAGGTGGGCAACAAAGTTGATACAGGGTCTTTAGAATATGCCCTATCAGGATATTGAAGGAACTTGGAATTTTAATCTGGAGAAAAGACTGAAAGGAGACATGTCTACACATCTTAAAGTTGCCAAGTTTGAAAAACACTGGACTAGGTGATTCTGGTGCTCCTTTCCAACACCATAATTCCATGAATCTGATTTTATGAAGCAGGCAACATGGGGCATTGGACTTAGCAGGTAGAATTTCACTGAATAATCTTTCTCTTCAGTAACATCTGTTTCAGTGCTCAGACAAATATTTCTCAACAGAACTACCTATTGTCAAAGTATGGTTTGCTTTTGTTGTTCTGTTGGATCCTCAGTTTCCTATGTTCTCCATCATACCCCACAGCAGTGAAATATATACCAACTCAGAACCTGATATCAATGTATTCCCCTTCCCCCCCCCCGGCCCCATTGCATGCAGTGGAAAGGGATCTTCTTCAAATAATAGGGCCCTGAATACCATATTCAGTTTAATATTATATCAATACAGAGTCATTGGAGTACTCCATCAGAGTGTTCTAATGAGCATAATATTGCTTTGCCAATTTTCACTTATCAGTAAAATAAATGCAGCAGTTAAACTACCTCCATCACAGGATAAGAATAAAGGCTGGGAAATTAAAATGTGTTTGCCTAACTCCAGAATAAATAATCAGACTACAAACCAAATTAGTCTAAATAGGATGAGGACTTCATAAGTGGGCTGCTGTAAGTGAAAAAGACTATTTCTCCAGTAGTTGCCTGGCTCAGCTAAGATGGAATTTAGAAGAGGGCCTCCAAATATGGTAAGTATTCAAGCAGGCTATGTTGATATAGGTGGACTCCGCTGCAAGAAATCTGTTGCCTCCCAGCCTGGGGCTACAAAAGAGTACAGGTAGTCCCCAGTTTAAGAACAAGTTCCATTCCCAAGGTCTGCCCTTAAGTCGAATTTCTATGTAAGCCAGAACAGTATTATCATATACTGTATAAGTAGTATTGTGTAATTAACTCAAATCATTGTGAATTTAACTCAAATTTTGCTGCAAAAAGCTCCATTCTTAACTATGGGTTCTCTATATCTGTAGCTGAAAGAGAGAATCATCAAGCTAAAAGAATTAACTCTCCTTCCTAATGCTTAACATTGAGGAATGGAGTCAGAACACCAAATGTGACTTCCTGTCTGAATAAGCTCCAGCAACTCTTAATAAATACAGTTGGGGGCTTGGAAACACACCAAGGAAGAATATTCAGGAAATGATGGCTGCTGTTGCATTTTTAGAGGACAGAGAATTCTGTTCATGCTCCGGTGTCACATCACCACAAAATGGAGGAAGCATCAAATGCCAACGATGCTCCATTTTCAATGTTTTAAGTAGAAAAAAATCGGGCATTATGGTCTTGGGTCTTTTCTTTTTCTAAGACTTCATGCTGAGATTAACAGAACGGCTGTCATCTATCCGTCTTTGATCTGTGTATTTTAAAAGTTTTCTGAACTAAAGGCTTTCAACCTTTACTTTCATATGACCAATGGCTCTGCTTGCCTGTCAACCAGCCTTTATCCCTATTATGTAGTTGTTTCTAATAACTCCTGTTGGATTGTTCTGAACTAAGAGAGGAAGTAGAGTGTATTTGTGATGTTTATGTTCTGCAGTAGTCAGTATTATGAGGCAGGTAGGCGCACGCTTGGAATAAACTTGTGAGTGTTCCCACAAAATGGCTTGCCAGGATGGATGTAAGTACACATTTATCAGAAGACAAACTGGCAAGATTGCTCCCCAGCCACCCTTCCCCAGTCTTGTCTTATATTTCTGAGTCTATTGACAAATTTTTAAACAAAATACTGCAGTTATGACTCTTTTTTATTTTCAAAAAAATGCATTTTGGGTCCAGAGACATTTTTTGTAAATAAATGGTATTAAGAGCTGGTGCTTTACTCTGCAGCATTCCAGCCAATCAATCAATCAGTCAATCAATCAATCTCTCTCTTTCTCTCTCTCTCTAACATTTTTAAAAAGACTAGTTGAAGCAGTGCAGGTATCTGTTGACATATTGATGCCTGTGGATTGTATAGGACTTAACCTTGACATACTAAGTAGGCTGACATGGAGCTTACCCAGGCTGAGTGCTAAATCTGAAGGCTTCTAAATCCAGGGGCAGAAACTGAGACTCTCGCCATGCATGTGCCCACCAGAGATTTTGTGCATAGCTCTCAAAGCTCCTAAAGTTTGCCAGATAAACCTTTTTAATACAATAGGGTAAAAGTATTACATTTGTAGAGAATAACTATTATTAACTGGACTTCATTAATTTCATTAATTCTACTAGGCTTAAAATTTAAATGTAGTTTTTTAACATCTAATTCACTATATCTAATTCACAGAGTTAAAAGTATAGATACCTGCAAAAGTATTAACTATATAATGTAAACCCAAAATTAATAACCATAAAAATTATAAAAGGTCAAAGAAAAGATTTGAAAAATTATGTTATGAGCAGAACTCAAAAAAATTGACAATATTGCTTGAAAGTTTTCCTTACCCTATTGTTAGGAAAAAAACTAATCCAAATACTAAGAAATTTCACATATCAACAATTGTTGCAAATCAGGTATAGATTTCTCTTTCCGGTGTATTCCTATAGTCAGTCCCAACAATTAACAATTGTTCATGTCTTTAAAAATTTTAAATGCTAGGAATATAACCAAAAGCATAGGTGTCAGCAACAGTGGGAAAATGACAAAATGTACAAATGGTTTACATATTTCCATCCCACATTAGGATGGGATACAAAAGGCTGTGATTTGCATCACAATGTCTTAACACACTTTCCCCCCCATTGTTTAGATTCCTGTGGCCAAGAAGAACATATGGAATGCACAATGATCCGTTTAGAGTAACCTTAACAGTCTTTAAAAGTTGTTTTAGTGAAATTGTAGATATAATAGTTCATTTAGAAAGACTAATGAGACATTTTCTTCCAGCAACCCAATTCTAATTTAGCAGCACCAGACCAGGATGGCCCCAACTTTTTATACTTCACATAAACATCTCATTCTATCTCATAGTGGAGCTGACTTTGTAGCAACCTGCCATTCAGTGGCCAGTCCTTCTATGCTTGGAAAAGAACAGCAATGAAACAAAGGTGCCGGTATCCCTACTGCCTGAAGTCATGCCATACAAGGAACCACCACCCTTAACAGGGAGTTAGAAGATGCCATTTTACCAGCAGTTTAAAACTCCCTTTGCATAGCAATGTCCTTGGCTCTGTTTCTATAATAAAAATGGTGCTTGAGTCATAAATGTAAAGATGTGTTCCAGTAAAGTTTTGGGCAACATCTATACTTG